TTAAACAGGTAAAGACTGGTTTCAGTGTATCAACGGTAAAAAGTTGATCTAACTCGAAATGGCAGGAGAAAACAATATTACATTCAAATTTTTATAGAAGCCTGTCCCTAATTAGCGGCTAAGTATGGTCTCCCGTATCCAAGACTTAAGCCGCGGTATCCTTTGAGGCTCGCGCACGGATGACGCGTGCCTGAGAAAACTCCCGTTCGAAACCTGTGCAGAGTGAAATAGCGGTTTGTTTGAAGCTTTGCGCGTCTTATAAGAGAAAATATATGGTTAATTGTGGATATTTTTCATACGTTTTTATGCATTGGGGCGTGATCAAAAACAATAATGCCTGCCCTACGCCTTACCCCTTTCAGAAATTCAAATTTTTTTGCGCAAAAAAGTTTGAGAGGCGTGACGTCATATATGGTTAAAATATCCATTAGTAAAAACTTTTTATTTTAACCATGGGTTAGCCACAGTTGAGACCATTCTCAGTCTTGTTCGAGACCGTCCAAACCATGCTGGTTCGCCTTGGCGATCAAGACCTCGCGGGGGTTTTTGCGTGCCTGACCAAAGGATACCGCGGCTTAAGTCTTGGATACGGGAGACCATACTTAGCCGCTAATTAGGGACAGGCTTCTATAAAAATTTGAATGTAATATTATAGCATATTATAGCATATAGCCGCCCCCGCGATGCATGCGACCTATATATATCGTGCCGCCGACTCAGTCTGATGAACATCGGGGCAGGCCATGCCTGCATATGCAGTGGGGCATTATGGCAATGATCATATTGGCCCGCAGGTCGACCTATGCATATGGATCTCACCAGTGTCACATGCACATGCACTAACATGGGCCGCCGCAAGGTGGTGGCTTAGTACCAAGGTCACTCACTCGTAATGATACACCGGTACTTTACCTTCAAAGAGCAATCATAGGTTGTATACTAATAAAAGTTTGGCAATTTTACAGGCAGGCTCGTTCAGTCGTCATTCCGAATAACTCAAGTCAATCGTCAGTATGCAGTAAGACAGTGACGGTAACTGCATCTGATGCACAACGCTGCGGCCGAGGACTTATGGCCGGCGTTTACGCAATCTAGGAGCTAAGTTACAACACGCACTCGATTCTGTCCTCCTTTGGAGCGGCCCAGTGACTCAAGTCTACTTGCTGACATCAAACGAGTCCAAAACCTGGTGCAACGCGTCAGCGAGGGGCAAAGGCGCTGGCTTCTCTGGGCTGTCCGGGTACGTGATGTTCAAGATGAACAACTTTTTCCTTACCACCGTAACCGCTGTTAGAGTTCGTTTCCCTCCTCTAGAACTGTCGAGCGCGTATTCAAGAGTGTATAGAGGAGCGCCTGCCGTACGGGCAGTCTTTCGGTCTATTCTAAGCATTGTGGCACTGTTCGTACTGCCCTGCAAACGGGACACGACACAGATGGGACTCTAGTCTCAGCTGGAAGAGAAATCATGTCAAAATGCATCGCTTCAGATTTGACGTATTAAACGTATCGAATTCGCTGTGTATAAGAGGAGATACTTCCTATTGGCGATTCGTGTGGAGGGTCAAGGGCCCATCGAAAAGAACAGCGTTTCGAACTCCAGTCGTTTTGGACTTGCATTCAAGAATAGAGCCTCCTGGAGAAGAAGCGTTACAGAGTGGCATCCTCCGTTTTGTCCCTCCGCTTCCGCCCTGCAAATCCACTTATACAAGAGAGACCAGTCTCAGCAAGAAACATTTGGAAGCAAGACCTCACCTTTTTGCGTTCTGCCACCAAGACATTCTCCCCTACAGTCTCCGCGTCCCCAAACTCGGTGAGGCTGTCGATTCGAACAGGATTCACCACAACTCCGATGCTGTTCTTGCGGTTTCTGGGGTCCTCTATAAGGAGTGTGGCTCCTGCTTTTTCAACGATCTCCCAGCCTTGTGGCCGGGACACACTGAATCCTTCTTTCTTGTCCTCGTACGGTACCAACACAAGCTCCGAATCAGTGGTAGCGGGGGTTTCTGCAGGTCGGTAAAGTAGCGAGTCAAATGAACGAATTCCTCCAAAGACAGCTGACTCTCAGAACGTGCACTTGGACATCTTTTTTGAAACCCTTTCCTCGCATCCTGGGTGCTTGAGACTGCAAAGGCTTCTGACCCCCTCCACAAGTACTGCAGGATTGAGAACCGGTTCTACCCGTTCTGAGATGCACCAAGTTGTTGATCGGTTCGCTGATGAGCGCCTTTTGCAACGCTACAACTTCTAGGCAGCCCCATCAATCAAAAAGCGGGTGAAAACCATCAGGGCTGCGGCAGCGGCTGCGGTCGAAAGTGATGTGCAGTGGTCAGAACTACAAACGCAGGAAAAGCAGCCATGGATTGGGTCTGAAAAAGAAAAGCAAATCACATAAGCTTGAGCTGAGCTTACCCTCTGCAAGTGCCGTCCCACTACCACTCAGCAGAAGCGGAATTGCAAGGCCAAGCAGACCGGCCGTCCGCCTCGTCAGTGCTGGCAGTGCGGACACATCTGCTTTTGGCTGCTGCGATTCAGAAGAACTAGCTACATACTGATGCTGATCAGCAGCGTTGATCCTCTTAGGAGATTCTGAGCTCACAATCTCCTTGTGCAATCCTACATTCTGGACGGCGGTATGACGAAGATCAGGCATGTCTGAATGTGATGGCATTGCTTTAGGTGCTCTGCATCTTGCTTGTCTGCCATTGGCCAAGTCTCTCAAACAGCGTGCGCTTCCAATTTCGCCTACTCTGGGAATTGCAATGCTGGTTTCAAAAGAGCTTTTCCTTGGCGCCGCACCGGTTTGGAGCTCGAGCTGGTGGCAGCAAGGGGCGAGGCGGTGCCACGATTGGTGGCAGAGTGCGGAGCTCATTCTCTTGGAACATAAGGATGGATAACCTGTCTCGACGTTGCAGACACCGCCTCTTGTGAAACACTGACAGTGACAGAGGCGCTTCGATTATCAGAGCGCAAATTCCATGGAGCCAATGCGAGGAGAACAGCTATCAAAGTTAGAGCCTAGCGTCCAAGGCGTGGCAACTCGCAGAGCTTTGATACCGTCGATCCAGAGGTTCCAGCCAATCCAACAGTCAGATTCTGTCCACGTGGAAAAGGTGCCCAGAAAAGCTTGCATGCACAATGTGCTGATTCAGCCTGATTAGATCTGCTTGCAAGTTGCCAGGCCCCTGCAAAAGCTTTTGAGTATCATTTTGCTAGCTATGTAGCTGATGAATGGTGGTGGCGATTTGAGGATCAGGAGGCGCAGGAGGGCAGAAATTTGAGGTGCTCTTAATTCTTCAGCTGCGGCTTGTCTTGTATGTTGATCCTTAATGGCTCCTCAAAATCAATCAAGCAGCATTGGCGGTCGGTGAGCTACTCGCTTGCGGCGGACCAGACAACAGCTGAGCTAAGGCCATTAGTTGCATGTTGAAAGAACGCCAGCCAAACGGTGTTGGGTTAGCACCTTGATTAAATCTCTTACCATCAGCATCAGGTGTTGCGCTCTCTCTCCCTCCTTCTCCGGCGTTGCTTACATCAAGATCCATGAGTAGAGGGTAAAGTGAGTCAATGTGTTGATGGGTCAGAACTCTGAGACCAGGGTCTAAAACAGTACACTGGTCGCCGGAGGTGTTGTGGTTGATTGAACTACAGAGGTGTCAAAGAACTTTTTTTGTCAGTTGAGGATGGGGCGCAGGAAGACAAAGTTGCCAGTCGGTGGCATTCAGTTTGTATCTAATCAGATAGGCTCGCTTGTCACCCTTGAGTCGCCGCATAGTGTTGTTGATGTTGACAAGCTGCACAGCCTGGACAGCAAGGATTTTGGCGCTGGTCAGCTGATGGGGGACCACTCAACAATCAGGTTTCAAGGCGGTGCTCAAGGCTCAAAAGCAAGGGCACAGATTCAGCGGTTGGATTCATTGTGGCACAGGAACACGAAGCTGATAGATGATAGCCAAAGGCTAATGCTAGAGTGAGTACCACGAACCATGAGATATTTTGATCTGGCTTTGGATTGCTTTAAACAGCTCTTGAAGTGAAGGACTGAACACATATGTTCTGCATGTTCGATACATTGATGCCTTCGATGATGGTGATGGCAATTGTATCACTATACCTGTGCTGTTTTGTCAGAAAGTTTGTTCCACCGACAGTAATTATGCATCTTCCAGAAGTGGCGCATTGCTTCTAGTGTTCTGGAGTAGGCCTTTCGCCTGGACCTTGCTTTCAACCCCATTCTGAGGAGTGCACCCTATCTTTGAAGTGCAAACAAGAATAGCAGTGACACTTCGCCGATTGCTGTACAGATTGCAGTCCCTCCCAGCCCCATCCACTTCAGAGGAGACCACCGAGGTTGCAACCATCACTACACTGAAAGAGATATTGCCTGCCCCGCTTCCTGTCGTCATTGATGCCTGGGATCAGAGGCCCTCCTTTCTCAAGTTTGGAGACAACGTAGGCACCGGTAAGTCTCTGCTAAGCAGGCGTAACCACAAGCTTCTGCAGGGACCCACCATTCATCATGCTTCTTCTGAGCAGTCACTTGGTATGCTTCGAGTTCTTGTTGATCTCGGCGTTGGGAAGTCTTCCTTACTGTATTGGCCACTCAATGTTTAGTACGCTTTATGGCATCATCTTTCAGTTTCTTGTCGCAGTTTTTTCACTTTTGGCTTGGGTGTGTTTGGTGAAGAAAGTATAAACAGTTACATGGATCACAAAATGTTACAAACAATGTTTAAACAATGTTTAAAAAGAGGCTAATCGGAAGGGTCTCAGGCGAAACAGTATCTGAACTCAACGACCTCGGTCTATGGCCGTCTGGCAACCGGCAGCGTTGGGTTGGCTTGATGCATCCGCCGATTGTCTCCAGGCGACTCTACAATACGCGAATCTCTGGCAAACGTCGCTACATCCGCCCCCTTCCTGTACATAGGCCTCAACACGCCACGGTGACTTCTCATTTTTGGGCTTTACCTCTTTTGTAACTCGAGCACTTCGAGATCTCGGGAGCTGCAGCAAGCAATGCCGCGCAGAACATGTAGAACATGGTCTGTTCGAATTGGCTTGGTCAAATCAGCGGCGATGCTCACTCTTGCTTCCTCTGAAGTTGGTCTCACCGAAAGATGTTTCATTTCTTAATTGTTGACAAGAAGCCGAAGCTTCGAAGCATCAAAACTGGTAGCTCTACACAAAGTCACGAGACTACCAAGACAAGTCGACTGGGGAATTATTTCGGGCAGCTGATTTAGTGAGCTGCAGAGAGGTTCTCAGCCCGCAATCTTTGATCAGCCATTGGTCCGTCACGAAGTTCTATACGTCCCCCATCTCGTTTGCCAGGAACAACACATACAATCGAATATACGCCCAATCGCTTATGGGGGTGGGGGTTGCGTCATCAATGTACCACACCTCTCGAGGCGCCACCCGCCCGTTCTTCAGGTGGTGTGACTACGCAATGATTGGTGCTTCGTCCATGGTGAGTATATCCGACCTATCCTTCTCCGGTGCATGAACGTTTGGACTCCGGGAACTTCGCATACTCATCTAGCCAGGTTGGAAGGTTCCGGAGCTCCTCGAAGAGGAGTCTTTTTTTTGCGGTTGATTACTCATTAAGCGAACGTGAACCAGATCTGTCGTGGAATTGTCAACCTAGTCTCACTCCGAGTTTGCAGGGGTTTGGCTTGGGAACACCAGACTCACCACCTTCTTTCTGGCAAACGTTCACAACTCGATGGCTTTCCTCCTGACTGACGGCCTATCTTTGCAGTGTATGAGTAAAGCCCTGAACCCGGGTCTTTCAAACTGGTGGCTGCTGCTGTCGGCGAGCCTGCTGCCAGTTCAGCCCATGCTAGTTACTGCCGTGCACGCGGCTGCCATGGAGGTAAGTTTACGGGGTGTCGGATTTGGCCTTGAATCGTGTACAGAAACTTCGGGATCACGACGTTCGCATCAGGTTAATGTGGCCTTGGCGAGGGCTCGATTGCAAGCATCGTACCAGGACCTTGATATTTCAGGATTTTAAGAGTCGCTACTTCGACCGACACTTCCTTATTCCTGTAACTGATCCATGGAAAGTCTCAAAGTTGCCAGCGGCGTGTAATGAAAGTTCGACCGTGGCCGACTGTTGGAATGCCTTAAAAGTTTAGTGTGTTTCATTCCAAGTTGGAAGGGTATTTCGGATCGTTCATACGAGGCCCATTTTAGGCTGGTTAGAAGAACTGACGGTGTGTTCTATGGTTAATTGACCCTCTCAATCCCCTTGAGCCTTGATGTCAATTGAGGTTTTCGGTTAGAGAAAGAGGAGTCTTGGCTTCGCTCCGGCGTGCACCTTCCTGTTTCGTTGACAGAGGCTAGTGTTTGCAGGTGAAATTTGCTAGGCGGAGTCTTGCACAACCTGACCGCTACCAGAAAGCCCATCGCATGCATGCAGCCTCGACGTTCTTAGGGTGTGTCTGCTTCCTTGCGGAAGAGGTGTACCCTGATGTACCATTCATTCATGCTGCTTGGCATGTTGCAGCTGCCTTAGCGATTCACACGAGCAATGCTTTGTTGAAGTGAAGTATCGAGTCCTCGGATCGTGTTGATAAGAACACGCGCACTTAGTCTGCTACGAATCAAGAATTCGCGCAAGCAAGCCAGACCTCATTAGATGCCTCCAAATATCGCAACGGCCTGTTCAACGCCTGTTAGTGCTTGCAGTATAGGAAAACGATCTGGCCAGCCGGTAAAGATAATAAGAAAGTGGAACGCTGTCACAATCAATCTTCTCTTTCTTTCAGACTTTTAAGCTATTACAATGAATCGGTAGTGGTCGGACGCGTTCTTACATACCAATTGCTTATATGATGGCTAGGTCACTTTATGATTACAATCAGCTCAATTGTAATTGGTATGTAAATACCCAACGTGAACCTGGCAGTGGCTGCAAGGCTCTTTGAGGTGCACCGTGTCATTCTGACGCTATCCAAATGAATTTTGGTGCAAGACTTTGTAAGCCCAAAGCTTGGACCGTCGGACGGTAACTGAATTTCGTATAGGTTTTGTATGGTCTCGCCCTGATTGCAAGCTGAAAGATTTCTATGCGAATGCAGCTCTTAAACACACATGATGATCGTCGGAATCGTCCAAATCAATTCAAACTAATCAATCGAACCAAATTTGAATTGTTCATGTTTCGCCGGGCCATCGACCTCAGGGGCAACTGCTTTCCTAGTAACCAGTCAGCGCGGGCGGTTTTCATGATCGACTACCATGCAGGCGCGGGCCGGGGTCTCAAGTTTCGTCTTTGAAGTTTGAAGACGCTTTTCGAAGCCTTCAAAGAGCTCTAGGCTTCATTGAAAGATAGGAAGACGCCGGACGGCCCACGCCACGCGCTCAGTGGTTAGTATCGTACGCGCGGCGCGCGCGTGGTGATGGGCTAGGGCCCGGGCCACTGAAAGTCGTCGGATAGAACTCTGGTGAATGAATGGCTGGATGGCTTGCCATGAATACCTACGATGAACTTGCCATCGGGCGGTAGGCCGTACTTGCCGCTGCTGACGCCAGGCTCTGTGGCGCTGAATGATGTCACACAAAATAAAGTGCTCAATCGGTGTGAATCTGTCCAGATCTATGTAGACCTCTCATCCGCACTCTGCGGAAAAGTGCATGCTCGAGCACGGCACTGCTTGAGACCTATTCGAACGAGATAAAGGACCGCTTGCGGAATATGAGGAAAACCTTAAACAAATATCTCGTGCGCTTTTTGAAAGGTTTCACACAGCCTGCGCTAATCGGCCCCGCCTCTGGAGGTTTTGCGCAGGCATTGCCTGTCTCAGGCGGGGGCTTTTTGGCCGGCCCGAAGAGGACTGCAATTAAAGGTCGTACCACAGGAAGATCTCTCATCATTGAAAAGATCTCCCGTATCTGGAGACGCAATCTCAGGCGTCGATTTGCCTACAAGGTCGACGTGGCCGCGCAGCATACTGCCAAAAGGAATGGCCAAGAAGCTACCAGAAGAGAGTGCAGATTCCATTTCTTCCTCAAAAGCCACATCACAGCACGAGCGAAGCTTGGAAGGATCCGATCGCGATGCATGAGGGATGATCTTTCGGCTGGTTTGGCTGCAGGAAGGGCGGATCTTTTCGCCGCCCTGACTCTGGCAGCACCTTCTTCTGTTTGTGGAAGGAAGGTGACGCCTGGGCCCTGGAGTCCTCCGTTTAAAAGCCTTTTGAAGGAGTTGGGAAGCCTTCTCTGGTCAATTCTTTGTACGGTTGCTTGGAAGAGGCCTCTGTGTTTGGAAAAGGAGCATGTGGTGGTGTTGTTGGTGAATCTTGTCGCAGCGCTTGGCGACTCCCCCTTTCTGCACCCTCTGCTTCAATTCTGGTGCAGCAATGGCTAAGCTTAGCATATCCATTGCTGATACCAGCGAGGCCCCCTTGGCTTCTCTGGAAACACAGCGCTCCAGTGGTCCAGCTCCCTTCTTGAGCAAGACGTTTCAGCTGGTCGATGATGTCAGCACAGACGACATTGTCTCGTGGGGGAAGCATGACACCAGCTTCATTGTGTGGAAACCGATGGAGTTTGCCAGGGACCTCCTCCCAAATTACTTCAAGCACAACAATTTCTCCAGCTTTGTCCGGCAATTGAACACCTACGTGAGTTCCCGAACTATGCTGAATTGAGCGGGAGAGTGCCTAGCAAACAGCCACTCTTGTTCTGAGGATCCTCCTCCTCAAATGAGGCAAGGCCACACGAGAAAGCACAGTCATTTGGAGGACATTAGGCTATTCCTATTTAGATGCACTGGAGCATATGGTTCACATTCAATGTGCACTAATCTGCTGTTTTGGCAAGGTGTTTGCTGGTTTGCTCGCAGAATGTGGAACTCGCTGGTTGACAGAAGTTTGCAATTGGAGCTAAGCTCCACACAGCAGCATTCTAGGTGGTCAGCTAATGATGAGAAAGCGCTTAGTGCAGAGTTGGATTCTTCACCTGGTTTGCTGCCAAGCTTTGTCGCCGTTGGTTTGCCAGTGAATAGAAGGGCCTCCTTGGCACATCTGGGTGTAAGCAGATTCTTTTCAAAGGGTTCAGCTTTCTTCTCTACTGACTTGACAGGCCAGCAAGTGTCTCCACCAGACTGCCACATCACATCAAATCCGATTGTTGTTCTGCATTGCGAAGCTCGCTCTTTGCTGACCTCTCCTTCCCTCTCTCCAGGGCTTCCGCAAAGTCGTCCCTGACCGGTGGGAGTTTGCCAATGAGTCATTCAAGCGCGGCGAGCCTCATCTGCTCTCTGAGATCCACCGCCGCAAGTCGTCCGCCATCTCTCCTTCCAGCAGCGGCGGCGGCGCCGCCTCCCTCCCCTCCCCAGACATCTGCCCCCCCGACTCCCCTGACAGCATCATTTGCGACCAGTTTGAACCTCCTGGGGGAGAGGCCAGCCCACCTGCACAGCCCGGCAATGCCCCCTTAGGACAGATCCCCGGGCAGTCTTTGTCGGTGGAGAACGAGCGGTTGACTCGCGACAATGTGCTGTTGCTCAACGAGTTGACGCGGGTGAGAAAGATGTACGATGATGCGGTGGTGTTCATCCAGTACCAGGCGCGGGTGGCGATGCAGATGCGGGGGGGTCCGTTCTTGCATCCTGGTGCGCATATGCAGAACCCAATGGCGGCATATGCCACCCTGATGCAGCACATGCCGGGTTGTGTCAATCCCGCTATGTCGGGATTCTCTACCGTGGACTATGATGGGAAGGGGAAGGAGATGTTTCCTGGGTATGCTGCCCAGGCGGGGGGAGTGCCGAATCTGAACAGGTCAAAGTCCGAGGGGGCACCGGTGGAAGGTCACGCAGAGGGCTCTGCACAGCGATTTGCGAGCCCCTGTGTGGGTTACCCTGGGTTTCCTCAGGGATTTCAGCACTACCGGAGTACTGAGGGCTCAAGGGATGAGCGGGGCCCGAAGTTGTTTGGGGTTTGTCTCGATGCAGAGGGGACGAGACGAAGGGAGGGGGAGGAGCTTGCTAGGGGGGGAGAGAAGAGAGTAAAGCGGGAGGCTGCCTAAAGTATTGGTTCGATGCATTGATTGGCATAGATCATGGGGGTGGGGTTGAATCTAGGTTGTCTTGTATATTAGAAGTCAGCGACTGGTAGAGCCACTAGATCTGGTGGATATTTTTTGGCGGAGGAGAGGGCCTGGTCGCCCTCATGCTTCGCTCATTGGCAAGCATAGCTGAAATGTCTGCACATCGCTTTGAGCAGATGTGATTGCCCTGAAGTTGGTTTAGTTAGGGTCGCAGGGCAGGTTTCATTGACAAGCCACATAAACGTCCACTCTTTTAAAAGAACAAGACAGCCCACATTGGGCTTTAGACGCTATGAACAGTAGCCAGTGCCCGAGACCAACGGCTCGACCTATGCTTTTCCACACCAGCCTGTACAAAATTCTTTCCACAGCGAGGCAGAAAAGACTCGCTGTGTGGCTTAGGATCGAGACTGGCTAAGGACACGGTAGAAAGACATATGTCCCTATTGTGCACGTACAGGACAAATGGCCTCAGGCCAAATTTTGATTGCAAGCAGTTTGCATTGACCAATAAATTCAATTTTAGCACAATTCTCGAACTTAAGCAGGTCACCGCCTCTTCAGAATTTGCCATGATCTGATCTGATCTGTTTCAACTTCAGTGCAATCCATGCTTGAAGCTCTTCATTATGCAGATGGATCCGACTTCATGTTATGAGTCTGAGGTCAGGCTAGATATACTTTGCCTTGCGTGCGGGAGTGCATGCCACGCTAAGTGGCAATTGAACTTATAATGAGTGCCTGTAGGCCCGTCAATGAATATTCTCATGACTCAGATTTGACTACAACCTCTTGAGGAAACTGATTGCATGGACCGTGGACCCAATGCAATGCAACTAGCATCATAAATTTTCTGTATTAAAGTTGTAATTGATTGACTGACACGGAATTCAATGAGCTTGTCTTCTAAATGAAATAATTACTCCTGAAAGTCGCCGATCGCGAACGTGGCAGTCAGCTCAGTCTACATGGCAATCATTGTGTGCGAAAAGATGCATGCACATTGCAGACTCACCAGCATACCCAATTTGCAGATGGTATAACGTCATGCTGGCATGCACGAATGATCGAATGACTTGCAATTTATGGAGGGAGTGTGATACAGGCAGCATATCGAAACAGTAGTGAAAGACGGCAGCAGTTCAATTTGTCGCCTTCTACAAAGTAAGACGTACATTGAGTCCCTTCTTTCTTGAGATCTCTACCCGCCTTTCACTTACGACTATTACCTTGCTCGGAAGCAGAATTCTGTCTCCTTTTGATGAAGTAAGGAACGAGGCGGTTATGTCTGATAGTTGGTCAGCATATGATTTTAATGGCCATCCCCACAACCGCAGCCGATGCCACGTGCCTAGCCATCACGCCCATTAGGGACACCCCTGAACGAGAGACTTTCTTCTCCACACCTTTTCTAAGTCTTGAATGAATGGCTGCGTCACTTTGGGATATAGTTCGGCTTGTTTCTACGGTGAAACTTTGGATAACATCAGCCCCGCTTTGCCCGGCTACACTGGGGCTGTCTCTAGAAGCAGCCGAGGAATGGTTCCTAGAAAGTAACGAGGAGTCTAGATCCGAATGCGATGGCAGCACTTCTTGATCCGCAGGTTCTCGAGAACTACCTATCGACACCGCATTCAACCCATCGTTGACGGAGCAATGGGCCTCGGTCCGTTCTCCCAATCTCGTCACAGGCACCCCCCGAACATTTTGCATTGCGCTTCCGACCCTCGCAAATGCGCCCACACTCAGGAAGTCTACCGGCGCAGGCGTCTCACCCCCCCGGGGTGAACTTTCCGGCAGCTCGACCACGCTAGGGCCGGCTGCAAAAGACGCCATGAGGCCCGCGGGCTGGGGGTCCGATTCAGCGCCCATTTCAGCCCCCCGTTCCGGGAGTGCTAGATCGTACCACATCAATCTTGCCCTCTGGAAAGGAAGGGCTTCGAGTGTCAAGACGGCGGCATCGGCGACTGCGGGCCGGACTTCTCGAATCTTCGCCCCGGAGAGCGATCCCTGCAGAAACGCACGCCCAAATCAAACGAGGAAAAGATCTCGAGCTAAGTGGAAATTGCGGTTGCCGCGCTAAATCTACTAACTGCGAACCATCGGTTGTAAGGTGGTCTCGGAGGATGACGTTAAACTCGGTGCGTTTCGATGGCAGATGGCCTGGAACGGCAACTATCAGGTTTTTCATAGTAGCCTTGGAGCGCACTAAAATGTTCTTAACAGCTGACATCAGAAGGCCTGTTTGACCTTGTCATATCAAGGCGCGCAGGAAAAGAATCTGGATGACAAAGACCTCTATTCCGCTTTCGAAGAACTACAGCAGCCTGTGGTGCAGGCACAACCCCTCGACTCTTCGAAGTTCTCAATTTCTGCCGTTCCGGGGCCTTTAGCGGGTTTTGAGGACTCGCCGGACGCCTCAATATATTAAAAAGTTCTGACGAATCCGAACCCTGGGTGTTGAAGGATTAGGGGTTTCACGGAACGACCTGGACGGCCGCCCGCGCCCAACGCCAGAGCGCGAGCAGAGAACGGAGCCTCACAGCGCTCGGGTGCACCGCGTTTGTCAGCAGCGCCACGAAAACGTTGCGCTCCGGGTCGATCCACAGGGACGTGCCTGCGGGGTGTGGAACGACTTTCAGATTTTTACGAGATCCCTTCTCTTTATCTGTCGCCATTGCCACGAACACTTCGGGATCCGGGTCGATTCACAGCGATGTGCCTGCGGGGTTTGGAACGACTTTCGAGTTTTTATGCGATCTCTATTCTTATGTGGCTCCGTCTGTCGTCATGGCCACAAACACTTCGTGATCCGGGGTCGATCCACAGGGACGTGCCTGCACGGGTGTCGCAATATATGGGCTTAGCGGTTGTCGCTATCTGAATCTGGAATAAGGGTGGTTTGCTTGGTTCTGGGTCGTTCTATCAGCAGTCCACAAAAGGGTTGCGGTCCGGGTCGATTCAACGGGACGTGCCTGCACGGGTGTCAGAGCGATGAAGACTTCAATTTACCACGGTGACCCCACCACTGCCCAACTATCTCAACATGGTTGATGTGTGGACTACAAATCATCAATCTTTTCATGGCTGGCTGAAGGAAAGCACAACATTTTTGTCTTACTGGCGCCGTCTGTCAGCAGCGCTGCAATGACGTCGTGCTCCGGATCGATTCGCAGAACGTGTCTGATCGGGTGCCGGAGAGTGTGACAGTTAGAAAATCCTCAAGTGATTTTGCGGGTCTGCCCCGACCGAAGCTTGCGATCCGCCCAGAATCACGGAACGTCACAGGGCTAGACGGGTTCGACGTGAGATAACGGCCGGTCCACGCCTCGCCTGAGTTCGACAGGTTCGGTCCGAAGCGAAGCTCACAAACTAGACGCAAGATGCATTTGCGCCATCGAAACTTTCAACATCAATATGCAGGATTTCCGGTGTGTTCGAGACAAGGCGGGAGACTTGGTGAGATTTGGCTCACCTGTAAATCCGGTATGCCCAAAGGCTCTTCGGCCCAGAAAGCTCCCCCCTGACGTGTAGTTGTCCAGGGCCCGCCGCGTCGTCGTGTCAAAGCTGCAAACAGGACGAGCACTCTCGGTCACATAACACAGTCTTGCGCATCTTGCACATCTTGAAAATGTGTGTCGATACTGTGTTGCTTGTGTCAATGCTTCATTCCACTTCAATTGACCCGACCAGTTTAAGCGGAACGCGGCTGGAATTGCATTCCGCTTTCCAAGCCGTTTGAAATATGGCTCCTTCCTTCTTACAAATCCGAGAGAGAAGCAGATGAGGAGGAGCGACAAGGAGGCCAGAAGTAGGAGCACGGGCGCTTGCTTGACCTTATGGTGACGATGTTTGGGCCCAGTCGCATTTCCGGGGATGCAAAATTCCCTCTTTTCAGACCCTTGGACACCATTCTAAGCCTGTCATCTACTCGCGCATGACAAACAAACGAAAATGAACGGTTGAAAAAGTTGCAGACAGCCCTCCATACCAGTAAGTCGACAGTACGGACAAGGCAAAGCGCCTGTTTTCCAACACTTTGGCGGACATAAGGCGCCCGTCCACCTCACCCCAGTGCGAAGGGCCGCGGGCTGAGCTCCGTCGGCGGCTGCTGCCGTGTGAATAATCGCAGCGTGCTCTCCTCGAAGAAGCGCCGCCCGCTGGCCGGGTCTACGCCGCCCGCCAGCAGCATCCGGGCGTACTGCATGACGTCAGCACGGCGTCAGCGATCGACTCGGTGCATGAAGTCAGCCGAGAAGCAGAGGTCTGGAGAAGGTCTAAGTTCCTGAGGAATCGAAGAACAGAGCGTATCCGGGCAAGCGTGATACGTTCAAAGTAGAACACGCGGAATCTGTTCGGAAAAGCACTGGTGGCTTCGTTACTAAATGCTCGATTGATTTCTCCGAGGCCTGCACTGTGGAATTCCGAACGGGTATACCGCTGTCAAACCTATCTGTAGTGGCTTTCGAGAAGCCGTTTTGAGAGGCCGTGGAGCGAGGATATCTTCTTACGACCACCCATCTTTGCTGGACCACACAAGCTTCAACTCTTCCATCCGCCTAGAAACGACTTTCGAGAAGCCGTTTTGAGAGGCCGTGGAGCGAGGATATCTTCTTACGACCACCCATCTTTGCTGGACCACACAAGCTTCAACTCTTCCCTCCGCCTAGAAACGACTTCACACTGGATTGGCGTTGGCATGAACGACCGTCAACCGAAAGTATGATGCTCCTAGCGGTACTGAGCGAATCGTTTCCGTCAATTGATGTCAAAGGACTCACCCGAGCGATGTCTTTGGCGGTGGAAAATAGTCCCGCATGTCCAGCGACGCCGCCCAACAGGTACGCCGTAGGGTCGTGCACTGAAAGCACAGAGTTGTTTTTCAATTCACGATTCTTTAGAGTTCTGAGCCTTCCTAGAAAGCCAGTCAGATAATCGAGTTTCGTCAGCGGTTCTGTTTGTTAAACGGGTGACGCATTGTGCTTCAGTATGAGCAGACTTTTGAGTAAAGGTGGCTCAGCAACCAGCGTGGCCAACCGGCCCCTAATGAAAGACGCTGCGAGGGATTCGCTGGTGTCGTTCCTTCCAGCGACCAAATGATATTTTTCGAAGCAGTCGGGTCGCCGTCAACCTCACACCGGACAAGTCTGCTGATAGAAGAAGTCGTCTATTGCCTTAATTGGCAACGCAAAACGCAAAACCGGTTCTTCCAGTGGTGCATACACCCCAGCTCGCTCCAACGTTTACGTGGCGGTCAGTCTCACTGCAGCGGCGAAGCAATTTTCAAAACTCAGCGCGCTCACCTTCTCCCCAGAGCAGCCGCTTGCGGAACCCTTGGTCGACCTCGGTTGGAATAACCCGAATGTCGAAGTCGGTTTCGCCCACTGGTCGGAAATGGGTGTCGTGCATGCCCAGCTACAGACGGGTTAACCTAGGGTTAGTAGCAGATAGTGGGGCACTCTATGCACCGCACCAATTTAGAGCGACCGGGTCAGACTTCTAGTTAAGCATCCGTTCATTTCGACTTGCGGTTTAACACCCGCCTTACTACGAATCATCGGGTGTTGAGAAAAGCAGAACAGGGCTTTGCCGCAGTGCTGAGGAAACCTTAAATGGCTCTGCTCCGCAACTGTGACCTGTTTGCACATTGTTGTACTTCGACAAGCGAGGACTTCCAAACAGATTCGGACTTTCTAGCATATACAACAACGCACGCTTGACTAGTGTGCACCTCAAAACAAACCTCTCGCATGAAAAGCGACCAGTAAAATGGCTCCGACGACTAGGCCGCTAGAAGCGCACGGTGCTGATAACACTTCCATCTGTTCAGCGGCAGATCGCTGTGGATATGCGCATACAACCGCTGGTCCCTCACCGGTTGGTGCAGCTCCTTCTTAACGAAGGCCTCCAGCGGCTGCCCGGTGATCTCCTCGACGATCCAACCGAGCACGATCATGGAGAGGTCGCTGTACTTGGTGGTGCCCGGGGGATACCAGCACTTGTCGGCCAGGATGAACTTCCGAATCTGCGGGGTACGTTTGAACGCTTCGATTGGCGCAACAACTTAACGGCATGCATGCTTGGCAAGAGATCGTTTTCGTGGGGTAAGTGAAGACGAGCGTCGAAGGAGAAGGGAGTGTTGTTTCGTAAAGGCAATTCTTACGAGGGTGGCATTGTACTGGTCCAATCACGACATCACCGTGGACCAGGGTTTGGAGCCGAGATATACCCTTTGACGGTTTCGATATAGAGTCAAGTCCACTCTTATCTGAACGAAGTCAGAACCCGTGTCGTTGTCTCAAAAGTGGCCAGTTAAGTGTCGCCAGTGGCTTTAGGACTTGTCATCAAGTCAGATTGACTTTCTTCGATACCGTGCTGATTGTATCAAGGCAGCAGGCCAGAGACGACAGACAGGGAGCCCACAACCCGTCCGAAAAGATTCCTGTCCGAAAAGATCCTGTCCGAAAAGCCGACGAGCCGGAGAGCAAGAGATTGATGCACAACAACATAAGGCCCGCAAGTTCCTTACTCGGGTAATCTGAGATGAAGCCCGCACAGAAGTATCTCAACAGACCCCCGAGTCCGCAGCCAAACCCACAGGTCCAAGTTCTGCGGCCAAATGAAGAAAGTTTGGAGCAGCATCGTTCAAAGGCGAGTTCGTCCGGAGCATCATTTTTCTCGACAGCAGAGGACGACGAGCACACTACGCACCTGTTCTCGCGTCGTCAGGCCCATGTCGTAAAACGGGTAGAACTCGCGCAGGCCTGCCGTGTGCGTCAGCAGCTGACGCACAGTCACGTGGCCCTTCTTGTGCTGGCCGAAGGCGGGGAGGTAGCGCGCGGCCGGAGCGTCCAACTCTGTCAGAGAAAGCCACAGCTTTCAGAAAAGATTCGGACGTCTTCGTTTTACCAGCTGCAGTTATTGGGAGTATTTTTGGTGGTGGGAGGCCAGTTGTCAGAGTTGTTGGATCTATGATGATGCCGGGAGACGCTAAGACAAAGTTGGCCGGGCGGGCTAACAAGTAGTTCAGTCACTTACAAATGCCGAACTGATCGATTCCTTGTAGGGGAATATTTCAGTCGGGGCGCCCAGCCTTTGAGGGAATATATCTGGTCTCGTGTTTATGGGCGAACAGAGAGAGGTGCGCCAGGCAATCTCGGGTGTTGAATTGTGCAAGAGCATGTCCCTGACGACAAAGGATCCCACTTCTGGTTCAGAATTGAGCAACCGTGGGCTAAGAGTTTGGAGTATGAGCAGGAGTTCCTTACCAATCAAATCACGCTCGTAGAGGATCATGATAGCGGGGACTGTCACCATAATCTGCATACGAAAGCAGGAATCGGCGAATGTCTGGGCCCACAATCTTCAGTCGTCTTAGATTCCACATGATACAGCCTCATCTTGTCAACCGTAGTTGAAATATCAAGCAAGCACCCAGAAAAGCAGCGGTTCCTGATCGAACGGGGGTTCACCTCACCTTTGTCAATGATGCAACATCCCACAGCGACTGCTCGGAGGCCTTCAGGTTCGACTCGCTGAAAAAGAAACGGCTTAAAATCAGTTGATGGCAGTACACTCAACATGTGCGCTTTGAGAGTCCTCTCTTTACAGTCCAAGGACAGCGGGGGAAGCATGACAGAAGTCAGTTCGTTTTGTCAAGACTCCTGCAGATTGTTGTTGTGATGCTTAATGTGAAACAGTTCCTATTCGTTTGCTTCTATCTCCGGAGCTTGTTGCACCTTCGAAGAGTGTGGAAGGCCACAGTCTTGAACTTGCTCGAACCAGACTGTTTCGATTTTCAAGTATCTCTTATTTGAATCACCAGATGATAAAGAAGGGGTGTATTTGGGGACTCACAATGTGTAGGTACCATAGCCTGCACGGGCAGAGGATTTCCCTAGATCAGTCACCCTTAACATACTGCTGCAAGCATTGTGGCCACATGCAATATTCAAAGCGCCGATCTTTACAGTTTGCCTTTTCATGGTGCCTAATACTCAGGTCTTGAAATGTTTCACCTCAGAGACAGAGGAAGCACTAAGAACTTCAATTGGCGCACCCTACTCCATTATTCTCGTTGTGTGTTGATCAAGAGCAGAGAAGTTGGCAAAGCAAAAAGCTCTCAGGTATTCAGCTTGGAACTCGCAGTCTATACAGAAACCTCTTTTTCCATAAAACTCTTTCTAAGACAATTGCAGGCTTTTGCTTGATTACGCATCTTTCATCCCCGTACAGAAGCACGCCAAGCGACGGCAACATACAGATGTAATGGGTGATACAGGATGTTGGTCACGTTGGTAGGACGCTTTTCCAAACACAAGGCAGGAAAAGCTGCGGCAAGCATGACCAAGCATCACTGTCCGCTCCGCATACGGCCAGAGAGGGGATGGGAAGCCCCTTCTGGCCACCAAAGGAGCGGAAAGATCACACTCTTTTCACTTCTGTCAAGTTGTTTCCTTTTGTTCAATGTCATCTGACAAGCAAGTGCTCTTTCCGAAGTTGATAGGATTCTCTACTATTTGACCTGGCTTGACTGCTTCAAGGGATAAAGGCAACGCTTTCCCTTGCTAATCAAGCCCGAGTCTGAACAGATGGCCACTGCCACAACACAGCTTAGACAGGCAGAACACTTACTCCGTTGAAATATATTGCATTGGTTTGCATTCAGAATGTAAGAAGACAAGAGTGCTCCCGCACTCTGTTGATGGCCAGATGTTTTGGTTTGATCACAAGCGCATTCTTCTCTCAAACCCAGAACACAGTGCATCTAGTTTTTCTCGCGATCTAGTTTCTTAGGTTGCCAGTCCAAGGGCCAGGGCTCGCACCGTGAGAAAAGCACATTTCTCCGCAGTCCCCATATGCAACAGCCGCTCCAGGGAACACACGCTCATTGATAGCCTGCAGCCAGACAAGAGTGTTTGACAGTGGGAAAAGCTTGGACTCGTTGATTTACCCTTCGCTGTTGCAACTGCATTTGTCTGGTGGCCAGGATTGCCTGCTGATTGAATAGAATTTATATTCCAAGCAGCCAACAGCCGTTTGGGGGATTGTCATGTAAGTGCAGTGCTTGAATGGGATTATCTGTATCAGACAATCACTTGGAACTCAATAGTGATTCAAAGGATTATTTGAGAGTCAAGGCTTGGAAGGAGATTGGCTCCAACCAGGAAGGAAAGAGGGGAATGATGCAATCCAACCTCTGAGGCTTTGATGATCAAACATCACATGATCCTGAATGCTAGTGGTGCAAGTATCCTAGAAATCCAAGAGATTGAAGCTTTTGTGCAAGACAATCCTCTCCTTTTCCAACAATCATGCTTTGAAAGATGCTCAAGCTGGTATTGAATGCAATTTCTAAGAGAAAAACCAGGTTGCTCAGAATCCTGCGGGACTACCAGTCAATTGTCTGAACAAGCCTTCAGCACTAGGAACTATCAAGAAGATCCTTGGGCGAGCTTCACCTTGTGCAGAATCTCTGAGATGCTTGGCACAGGGCCACCGTATTCCAGCGCCGCCATCTCCTACGGCTCACTACGCAGTAGAGATTCCTCAATTCTGCAGCTACCTGTTGCCAGATCGCGTCCACCCTTTGTTCAGATGAGCACCTGAAGCCAACATGAGGGCAACCCACATTGGGACAGAAATGGTGCAACTCTGCAACGTTCACTTTCTTTTCTTGGGCGCAGGTGAGCTTCTGAACAGAAGCTGGCTGCTGTTGGGTGCAAAACGCGGGATCATCCTGCGTTCTTGAGAGCTTTCAAACGAAGCCGCTAACGGTAACCCGTTTTCCTGCGGTATCTTATGATTGGCCCCTTCCAACAGGGTTATCGCTAACAGCTCTTTTTTTTTTTTTTGGAAAATACCGTCTTGCACGTGCGGCTCATCAGCTGGAACTCGCAGACTAGCGTACGCCTCTAGGGCAGACAAACGGTGGGAAAAGCCCACCTACAAACACAAATCAGGTGGTCAGTGTATCGATGCGGCGGGTTATCGCTAACAGCTCGGTTACGTATCTTTTCAACTTTCATGGCAGCCAGAAAGTCTCGATTTCAATTTGAATTGCATTGCGAGCAATGGCGGACAAGGGAGCTGTGAGACACGTTGGGAGCCTCCCAAGGGCTCTGCTGTTCAACATAGCCAGTCTGCTGGAGAGCCCTGACATTCAGGGTCACTCTGATCTGAAGAGCTTCATGCAAGTCTGCAAAGAATGGTGCCTGATTGGAAGAGAGGCTGCTAAGCACCTGGTACTCAGGTGTCAGCACCGTGGGAACAACATTGAGGGGCTGAGCACGGCGCTGCACATTTTCCGCAATCCTGACAGGAAGCTCAACGTGGTCTTTTGTCGCCGCGTCAGCATGGACGAGGTTGCAAGGGTCGTGGCTTCCAGTGGTCTCAAACATCTGGAGCTCCGGTTCCCTCCAATGTACTCTCGAACTGCGCTACCTCTCCCTGCAGCCTTTGCACAAATGAACGAGCTAGAAAGCTTTGTTCTTCATCCAAGCCAGGGGATACGTTTTCTGCCCTTTGAGGTGAAGTCGCTCCCTCCGGAGGTTGTCAGAAGCTGGGTCAATATTCGGACCGTCAGCATAAATGGTCTCGGCAGTGTGGACCTGTCCGGGATCGGGCGATGGGAACTGCTGGAAGAGCTGACCCTGAGGGATGCGAAGATTGAGGCTCTTCCCGAGGAGGTCGGCGCGTGGAGAAAGCTGCGAAAGCTGTGCCTCGCAGGATGCTCAAACTTGACCGCGTTGCCTGGAGCCGTCCAGAGTTGGGCCATGTTGACAGAAGTCGACTTCCAGGATTGCACCGCGCTCGCCGATCTTCCAGCTGGGGTGGCTGCTTGGTTAAACCTCTGCAAAGTCTCGTTTGAGAATTGTTACCGTCTGGCGGCCTTGCCCGAGGCAACGTCAGCATGGAGGTCTGTGGAGGTGGCGTCTTTCAAGGGTTGTTATCATCTGGTCAGTTTGTCTGCATTGGGAGGGTGGTGCGACCTAACAAGTCTCGACTTGGAAGGTGTCCCTTGTGGGGACCTTCCAAATGGAGCTCAAACGTGGCGGAGGCTTGCGGACCTAAGGGTTGACAATGTCCAAGAGACCTTGCCCGAATTTGTAGGAAATTGGGGGTGTCTGAGGCGCATTAAGCTGGCACTCTATGGTGCGGCTGCAACGCTGCCGGAGGCCATCGGGGGGTGGGAGAACCTAACGACTTTGACGTTGAGTGGGGAGCTAGAAACCTTGCCCGATAGAGTGGCCGGCTGGACTCGGCTTCAAATGGTTGACCTCAGCGGTTGTAACACACTGAGATATCTTCCAGAGGAAGTTGAGAACTGGACCTCGCTTGAGAGGATCACGCTGCACGGTTCGGACAACCCTCGGTTGCTAAATAGCGGGGTTCGCGGGTGGACAAGCTTAAAGGCCCTCTCGTTTGGGGAGAACTCTTTGACCTGGCACGATTGCAACCCCATACCAATCCACCTGTTCGATGGAAAGAGTCCGGACTTGCTTCCTCGAATTGAACTTCCATTTGAAGTTGGAGCGTGGGCAAGGCTAGAAACCCTTGTACTCGGACGAGTAATGTCCTTACCAGAGGCCGTGGAGGAGTGGAGAGCTTTACGAACCCTTTACATCCACGAGTACGAGAGTGAGCAGCTTCCCGAGGGCATTGGTTCGTGGTCAAAGCTCACGTCCCTTCAAATGGCGAGCTCCCACCTACAACGGTTTCCCAGCAGCGTCGGGGCTTGGGAGGCGCTCAAAACTCTGGATTTGCGCGGCTGTGCGCAGCTGACGGGTTTTCCTGTGGAAGCAAAAGGGTGGAGGTCTTTGAGAGTGCTTAAGCTAGCAGGCTGCATAGAGTTCTTGGCTTTGCCTGAGGGTGTCGGGAGTTGGGAGAACCTCGAGGAGCTTGACTTGGGCGAGTGTATGGAATCCATCACTAGTCATCACGTGTTTGAGCTGTCTCTTGAGGCCTGTGCGATGGTGGCCTCTTTACCGCACGCAGTGAGTGCATGGAGGAAACTCCGCACCATCAATCTTGGGGGTTGTAGGCTCTTGCGCGAGTTACCAATAGGAGTTGGTAGTTGGCGACAGGTTAAGGATGTCGACTTGTCCGGCTGTGAGATGCTGATAAGCCTTCCTGAATGCGTAAAGGAGTGGCCCCTTCATGATTCCCGATTTCATATTGCTCTAGAAGGATGCCAGCCAGGTGTTCACAAGTCCGAGCACTTGGAGACCTATAGAGATAGAATGGCTGCAAGAGTGCCCTTGGACTCCCATCATCGACAAGAGGCCTTTCAAGGAGGTTCAATCACTGATGACTCAGACAGCGACTCGTCAATGGAATTTTCACTGTTCGATTAGAGGTATAGGTATTAAGCTAGCCTAGAACAAGTGTTTGGATGCAACGTTGAACGATTGGATGCAACGCTTCCAATGATGAGGTGGTCATCGATTGTGATCCAAGTCACTGGGCCCGTTTTGTAGCAGCGATGTGGGCAAATCAGTTAAAACTCTGGCAATTGTTTAACTACCCGGCTAGCCTAGTGTACCCGGCATGGTGCAATCCACCGTCATGATGCAGCAACCGTCAACATGCATCATGATAAACTAGCCTTCGGCAACCAATAAGCTAGGCTTCGGTTGCCGAACTAAACTCATGCCATGGCACCCTCTTAGTTGCTTGCAGCATGCGCCCGCTTGTGCGCCCAGCCCGGCCATCATAAACATATCACATGATCGTTTCAACCTAGCTTAGTAGGGCATGATCGAGTGAATTATATAGTATACATTCACTAAATCGTACATTCACTGCGTTGCATGCCCCCTGCGGCCGGCGCGCGCGTGACGCGCCGCCCGGCTAAGTTTGGAATCCCAGCTAGTCACTATTGTCGAGTAGCTCTAGAACTTTTAGACGATTGCCAGATCGATCATGCTTGGCCAACTTTTAGTATTCACTATAAATCATGACATGACGTCTGTTATACGTTGCCATCACTACGGTATATGTGCGCGTCGACTCAAGTAATCTTATAGCTGGCCGGCATATATGATCTCCGCCGGACAATGATTTGTACCGGCGGCTCTCAGTCAAGTAGTCTAGCTATCCGTTTTCGATGATTAAGATTTCCACCTTAACGCTTATACGCCATGCCGGCCCAGAACCTGCGCAACCGCGGTGCCTTCATTACTCAACCCGGCCTAGGGATCATTGACACACTGAGTGACTCAGCTCGCTTCCGACTAACTGCAATTCGGATCCATGCGCAAATCATCTCTCGACAAGCGTTCTCTCTTTCTTATTGGAACCTTGGACGTGCAAGCGTGAGATGACATCCATTTCAGCATCAGGATCGATCGCCACCGGTATACCCGCCAAACTCACTCCCTTTTCAAGTTTTCGTTAAGCCGCATAGCAAAAATAAGCGCACACAAACACAGTCATGTGCTTCATACGCCCTCCAGTTATGAGAATCAATTATTCATGCCGAACTCGATATAGACACAAATAGCTACGCAACCGCCGATTTCGCTTCACCCGCTGCTCGACTCTTGTTGCTTCTTCTGCTCCTCTGCCTCCGCCATGGTTCCGAGCTTCACGATGTCCTCCACAAGAATCTTGCCATCTGAATGTCAGCAACGAAGATCGAATAAGCGCTGATCCATCAGGGAAGTGAGCGCAAAAATACAACGTCTGGGATTGCGAATCGAACAAGGCTTTGCAGATCAGATCCAAGATCAAGAGGGAATCGACACGTCCTCTTTTATCACTGGTCCAATAAGAAGAGGATACACAAACATTTTATTTATAATTATACAGTCTCAGAAGCTGCTCCATTCAGCGTGCCCACAGTCTGTCAGTATCCGGATGTATGCAAACATTAGACAAGCTCCACGAGCGTCCAGAACAGTTGCTGAGAAAGCGGCACTTTGAACACAACCAGGAACTACAGAAGCTGATTGGAAGGTAAGGGAGAAGAAAAGGGAGAGAAAGCAGAGAGGACCATGCAGTGCCCCTCGTTGAATCTTGGCCAGCTCCGTAAGCAGCAGCGAAGGCATCACAAGAACGGAAACAGGACCGGATAAAAAAGAGCCACACCAAGCGATCCAAACTTTCCCGACTCGCACAAAGTTGGCGGATGAGTTGAGATTCCTAGGTTATCCTCGTTGTCACAATCTCTTGAGTCGAAGTCAAAGTCGCGCGGTGCCAACAAGAGAAAGAAAGGGAACGGTGTTACAAAAGTGCAAGGCGAAGAAAAAGAGAGGCACTTTGCGATGCCCACCTTTGTCTTTCGCCAGGTTCGCGATCAGCTGCTGCACCGGCTCCTCTCCCAGCTCGCTCTTCAAAAAGGCCGCCGCCGCCGCCACCTCGTCCGGCGACACCTTGCCGTCGTAGTCCCTGCAGAAACCGACGTCAGCATGCGCTTTGACGAGGCCAGCATACATTGCCAGTCACGTGGGCATACGTCGAGTTATAGATGTGTGCCATCGAGTGGCTTCACCAAGCGTCGGGAGGCCAAGAATCTGTTCCTCCGCAGCTAGGCTGCAGACGGAAAGTAAGACAAGCAAGAGGGCCTCAGGCGACCACCAACGAAGGCTCCCAATTGTCCGCCTCAAGTTTGAGCCAAAATTGTAAGCTTTACAACGCACTTCAAATTGGATTGCCCCGCTGTCTTGAACGCACGGTCGGGCGGGAAAGACGAAAAGGTTTTGCGGTCATGTTCTGTTTCTCGCTCAGCAGGGGCCACGATCTTAGTGCACTGTTCAACGCGTCGTCCCGTCAGTGTACTTATGCCTGTGTCACTTTCGAACCCCGTTTCTGAAACGCAACAGGCTAGGTGCGACCCTAGTGAACGCCATACATGGTTGTTTTTACTGTCGCATTTGACCCTTCGGTCCGAGGAAGTTCAATGACCAGCATAGAAGTCGGGACTGCAGAACCACTCACCGGTCCAATATCCGCCACCTGTCGCCGATCTTGGCGTCCACGTCATCAATCTCTTTCTCGAGCTTGTGGAGCAACGAGTCAACCTGCGCAGGAACGGGCCAGTCAGCCGGGCCATCAGTGTTACTCCCTGAAGCAAACTGGTCTCAGCTAGCGTAAGGCCTCGGTAAGGTCCAATGTTTACCACGGAGCTGTTCGCATGAGGAACTAAAAGGAACCCCTTGTTGTGAAAGCTGGCGACTGAATCAGAAGCTTGCAGAGAGCTTTCGTCTCGGTCTACAAATCAAGAGCACAACACGACAAGATCGAACAAAAGCGAAATGCTCACCCGTGTGATGAGCGCCTGTGAGGGCCCCCGCGCCGCCGTCTTCCTCGCCCTCGTGCGCTGCGCAGTCCCTTTTATAATCAAAAAGTAAAAGGCTCACCAAAGCTATTTTTCAAAAAACAACAAGATAACAAACAAGAGACGATATACCCACCCGTTTGATGAGCGCCTGTGAGGGTCCCGCGCCGCCGTCTTCCTCGCCCTCGTGCGCTGCACGGTCGACCTCCTTTTTGGCCTCGAAGAAGAGCCGCTTCGCCTCTTCCTCACCGTCAGTGCCCTCCTTCTCCACCATGCGATTGTACATCTCGATCTCTTTGTTCACCAGGTTCAGGAACTCCGTGCGCTCCTTCGACACTGACTGCAAGCGATACAAGGAAACGACTCTGAAGATCGGACGTCTATAAGTGATGAGCGTACGAGGTACGAGCTTACGAGCTATCACAAGAACATACATCTCAAGCTCCGTGTTGTCTAAGTTTGACAGCCTGACCCCCGACGCCACCACAGGACCCAACAACTTCAGCAAGTACTCGGGACTGCTGGCGCCCTGTAATGTTGGGCAGTCTCTGTTTGCAATCTGTTCTGCTTATGTCAGCTTCAGCCCCCAACAAAGGACATCCAACAAAAAGTCTCCAGAAAGTGCCTAAGTTTGCACAGCGAACTGGTCTTTCAAGCAGAGTCCGTTTCCTGCTCACCGAGCCAACAACAGCGTGCACCTTGCCAAGCAGTGAGCAGCCTTTCATGGATCGCTGGTGGGCGAGTGATGCCAACTAATTACAGAGAATGAAAACTTCTGCGCTGACGAAACGATGTCCAACGCCTGATGCTGACGCCAGGACGGCCAACGCCTTGTTCCGTTTACACGCTTTCATTGACCAATCACCTTGCTTAAAAATGTCGATTTACTCTACATGCGGAATTTTCAACGAGCACGAGAAAAATCACACGGGCACCAATGCTGACGCCAGCACGGCCAGCGCTTCGCTCAGCTTGCACAGGTCCTCCTTTTGCAATCGATCGCGTTTGCGCTAAACGCGACTCTCTCTTTCAAAAGACATGTTATCATTCAGCGCCCACACTTACCGATGCTGACGCCAGCACGGCTAGTGCTTCGCTCAGCTTGCACAGGTCCTTCTTCTGGTCGATCGCCTTGGCGCGCGCTACCGTGTGCGCGAGCGGCGCCTCCGCCTCCGTATCGAACCCGAGCCCCTTAGCGGTGGCCGTCTTCATCTCCTCAAGAGCCAAATCCCGTTCCGCCTGTTGCTTCGCACCTTCCTCCGTCTTTTTCTCTTCTTCCTCCTGGAACAGAACACGAGAGGTGATCAAAGAAAGGCTCCGGATGGGATACAAAAGCACAATAGAATGGCATGATCTTCATCTCTTCAAGAGCCAACTCCAGTTCTGCCTGTTTCTTCGCGTCTTCTTCTTTCTTCTCTTCTTCCTGCTGAGAAGCAGACACTCGAGGTGAGCCGACGATGGACTGAAGAAGCGCAGTCCACTTTTCATGAGGCAAATCTCTGACTGTCTTTTGACGTCCTCTCTCCTTCTTCTGCTCTTCCTATTTATTTTAGAGAATGACAGAAGGAGCTTCAGGCAGAAGGTTTTCTGACGGGAAGCGACTGGCACGCCCTTCCTCGTGGCGTCCTTGATACTTACCCCGTAGTCTCCCAGAAGAATGGTATCCGGACTCCGCAGAGTCCAGCCTGAAGGCCGATCATATCGAAAACCCTGAGTAAAGCGGACACCTTGCGCGCTCCTCTCCGGCCTTGATGAGCTCTCCTGAGCTTCTTCTGCCGCTGTGAGTGCTGCAGCTTGCACTGTTCGTTGTTACCCAGCAACTAGGGATCTGCACCCCAGAAGTTATTGACAGAACCCAAAACCCAAAGCCCCGCAGATTCACTCACCTTCTTAGCGCGCTCCTCCTCGGCCTTGATGAGCTCCTCCTGCCGCTTGAGGTACTGCAGCTTGCGCGTGCGCTGCGCCAGCGTGTCCTCCTCCCCGAGCTCCGTCATGCCTAGTTCGTCCACCAGCTCATCGGGCAGCGACGAGAGCGTCGCTTGGACAGTGTCTTCCAGGGACGACGTTGGAGAGGCCTTGAAAGCTCTGCGAATAAAAAACAAAATACATATGTTCACCGATTTTGAAAGCTCAATTTCGTTTAGTGAACCGAGCTCCGTCATGCCTAGTTCGTCCAAGCTCCTCGGGCAGCGACGAGAGCGTCGCTTGGACCGTGTCTTCCAGAGACGACGTTGAGGAGGCGCGGGAGGTAAAGCACAAGGTTGCAAAACCTAGATATTGATTTTACCTATTTCTGTTGTATTCAAGCACGGTTATACCTCGGGCGCCCAACAGTTCGTTGGAGGAGAAGAGATGAGGCTTCGACCATGTTTGAGATTCGTGTTCCTAGGGGATATATTGGAGAGGCCTTGAAGGCTCGAGACGACAGGGGCTTGCTTTTTAATTCTCGAATGTACGTCCTGTAAAATTTGTCCTCTTAGTGCTTGGGTGTATGCGAGCTCGGACGTCTACTGGCTTCTTGACGAAAAGGCCTGGCGGAAAAATCTGGTAATGGAGAGAGATGTACGTAGAACAACTTTCGGAAATATGCTGAGGGACAGAAGGGAAGAAAGGATACAAAGCCTGAAGTCGCTATAAGGTTGGACAGGCCACAAAAAGCTGCAAGAGATGACGGAAAGCACTCTTGTATCAGAAGAAGCAGATTATATTGTTGTCAAACAGGACAGTGGGCAGAAACAGCACTGAAAGGCTTGGCAAAACAGAGCTTTGATTAACGAGTGGCCTTGAACCGAGCGGCGGAATCTTTTTGCGCAAAGCAGGTGTGCCCTTTCACTTGACTGTACAGGTGTTCTAAGGTACAGCGATGATCAGTCGAACCAATCCGTCCTACGGACTACGGCATGTGATATGTGCTGTGCAGACTGTTCGCTGTGTGTAGTGCATCTTTGACTCAGTGAGTCCGTGCCATGTGAGAGTGAGGCGGTGAAAGGGTTGACTTTTCAGTCGTGTAAAGTCCAGCTTGCTTTGCAAGGGAGAAATTAAAATCTTAGAGAATATACTTTACAACTCTACTATGCAAACGAACCAGAAGTACTCTCTTCTGCAACTTGATCTGCTGTGCCCCTAGCACTGCAAACCGAGCCATGATACACGCGTGCTTATGCTGACTCCGTCAATATTTGTGTTACTTCCACTGTTATTTGCTGACTCTGAACGGACAGCTTCCTGAATCAACAAAGTTTTACAACCATCGCCCTCCTTACATCTGGTCAGTATGATCAAGTAACCTGTTTAGCACTGCGTCAGTCTGCTTTCATTATTCTCCCGTAAGCCTGTGTTGACCCCTTCGGTCTGCAGTTACCCCGGTCAGTCTGAGTTCCACATTTCAGCAAGCTTCGACCGGCTCATCCGGAGCCCCGACGGCCGGAACGGGAGCCCGCTAAGCGCGGCCTCAAACGACTGCTGCGAGGGATCCCCCGAGCTCTCCTCATACGCCGTTTCCTCGTATGGCAGCAAAATTGTGACGTGGGCCGCAGGCCGGGGGGCCTCAGAGGCTGTGTTTTGTGGGGGGGTGGAAGTGGGGGGCAGGGCGTGGCTGCCGTGATTTGTGAATGTGCCGGGATGGGGGGGGACCGGAACCAGGCCGCTGCTAACCCCCGGTTTAGAGCTGGGTTTGTGCTGCCGGTTACGCAGACTTGCGAGAAGGGCCGAGACGGGCAGCGGCCGATTTGCGTATGGAACCAAAGCGCGACTCCTCAGTGACTCGTCGCTCGCCGTTTTCTGGTCGGACAGCTGGCGAAGGACCCGGCTTATGATCTCTTGGGCTGTGGGAGTGCGCGACGAAACTAGAGCGGTCACTTGCACCGGGGGCTGGGGTTCTCTACCAGCAACGCCGCGAGCAGCCGGCGCGGTTTTGACGGACGCTTGTGAGACTAGGGGCTGCGGTTTCGAGTCGGTGTGCGAGAACTGCGCCCCGCCGTGGCTCCTCCCGTTCAGGAACGGCGCGCGGCTGCTCGCCATCGACCCCATCGAGAGAGCAGTCCTCGCCATCCTCGCATCCCACAGCACCGCAGCACCGTTTCTACTTCGGTCGCCGTTCGGCGGCCTCGACATCGAACTAAACTGCGCGCCGTGTACGAACCCCGGGGCCGCGAGCGAGGCTCCCCCCGGAAACGGCGAAGCTTGCGGGAACGGTAACGGTAGGGGCAGCGGTAACGCTTGCTCGGGCAGTGAAAAGGCAGTAGCGGGCAGTGGCGGTGAGGGGGCAGTCCGTGAGCTCCAAAGCAGACGCATGTCGGCGTCCTTGGGCGTGTCCGTTTCCGTTTGGCCGGACGCCCGAGAGCTGTCCGGTGGAGGAACTAGAATGAGAGGCAGTGTGCTTTGGACGACTGCGTCGTCCAGGTTCCGTGTGACGATTCTGTGGGACGAACGTGGGGTGGAGAGACGTGAGGTGAAGAAGTGAGGTTCAAGACTTGTGGGCAGTAACCAGAGACTTCTGAGCAGTGATCGAACATTTGTGGGCAGTAATCGGATGTAGTGGGGCAGTAATTGGATGCTGTTGGACAGTCCTGTCGAGCAACTGTGGGCTGTACTTGGAAGAGTTGGATTTGTTGATCAAAGCTGGTGGGCCGGAACGAAGTCTCGTGGGCAGTAAATAGACGTAATGGGCGGTAAGACTTGTGCGGAGTGACTGGATTCCGCATAAGGTAAGCAGAGGCTCGTAAGTGAAGCAGAGTCAGTGTTGACTGTGGGACCTCGCTGTGCTCGAGTGGCCCTTCGGAGTGTGCGTTAGTGCGAACCACGTACCTCAGAGATGACCGTCAAAAAGGACAAGACTTCGAACCGTTCGTACCCGACATCGTTGTAACGTAGAAACAGATTGGTGAGGCCACACATCGAAGAACTTTGGTCTCCACTCACCTCGAGAGGATGAGCAGTGACGATGGCAGAGACCGGTTCAGGGACAGATCGAGCCACTCCCGAATCTGCAAACAACCATCAAACCCGTGAGACAGCCGGCCACATCAGATCCTAAAATTGAGTGACCCGCCCCGATCAAGACGAAGAAAAGCGAATAGCAAGTTTGAGGAGCTCTCAGACGCCTTCCAGCTTGCAATACTCTGAAGTGCAACGTGGCAAATGTCAAGAAGGTTCGACACGGTGCCTCAAGTGCACAGATGAGGAGTTGAGGAGCAACGCGCAGATGGGCGAAGGACCACAATCAAGTCTTTCAAAGGACACTAAAAGTGATCTTTCGGCATGGCCGGGCCGAGCAAGGCCTGCTCACACGTTCACGCTCCTCGATCTCCAAACCGCTGACAACATGGAGCATGCGCAGCGTTCTAGCTACCAGCTCGATGTCAACGGCAAATCGCGACTTCCCGCTCTCGAACTCCTCAATCCGAAGCAGATTCGCATCACTGGCGAGCACTTGAGGGTTTCCCCTCACCTCCATTCGCATCTCGTCCTCCGTCATATTCCCAACCATGAGCATGCCCCGCTGCCGGCACGCCGACCGCAGCTCCTTCTCGGTCAGCGAGTCGACGCCCTCGCGCTGTATCAACTTGTCGTCCTCCTTGATCCTGCGGAAACGAGCGACTCAACCTGATCAGACATCGGATTTTTAAGAGAAAGATAACCATTCCTTCCAGGTGAATGTGAAGGGGTCCAAGGCATTCAAGTGAAGCGAGAAACTCGACCTGATCAGACAAGAGAGAGGATATTGCCCTTCAAAGAGATTGTGCAAAACGACAAGGTATAACAGGGGACGGCTCGGTCGCATAAAAAGAAACAGGCAGCAACAGATTTGGAATCGACGATAGCCACAGTACAACCAAGGTCAAGTGGTGTAAGGTTGATAAGCATCAAGAAAGCGGACTAGGAGGAGGCGAAGTGGTTCTACCGGGCAACTTTGCTTTCCTAGCAGAGATTGCCGCCGTCAGCAGGGTGACATCGCATGCCTGCACGGATTCCCGGACATCCAAGCTGACTAAGGTGCTTTCACTCACCAGTTTAATCGCGCCCTCAGAGTGTACCGAAGATATGCGTCCGTACCAAACGGTGACAGCCCCATGTATTTACACATGCTCACCAGCCGGGGACTGCAAGCAATTGGAGAGGATTGAGCTGTGAGAAACTGCCTTTTGCGAGGAGGCCAGGCGCCAATGCAGAAGATCACGCTGACAAAATCTCAACGGGCGAAGGAGAGTGGTATCTCCGGGGTCAATCCGGATAACATTTGAGGAGGCGATTGGTGCAGTATTCGAGAGCTTGAAGAAACGTACAAATGCTGGCATAAAAAGCTAAACAACCTAGGACCAATCGACTCCCCTACGTTCGTAGGCCCACGTAACAGATCGACTTAGAGGTCCCCTTGACACTCTCTTTGACCAGAACGTTTCTCGTTCTCATGCAACTTCTTGAGCGGACACTGCCAACATGCCGCACCCAAAGACAGAAGCGTTTCGCCGGCTTGCTTATGAGGTATTCCCGCAGCTCTTCTTATCCACTTAGCCATACTTTACTTGCTAATCACCAACTCACCGGCTGATGTTGTCCAATGTGAGCTCGTCGTTGAACAGCTTGGCGAAGTTGACAATGTCATCGTTCGAGACGTGCTGCCCGGTGCGGACCTGCACAGACCGGGGTGGGCAGGTGTCGAGAGCGCACAGAGTACGCTTTGGAAGACGCCGCAAAATGCAACGTCGGGGGTCATCAAAAAGCAAAGCACGCACGCCGCAGGAGGCGGATGATTATGAGCGAACAGGAGAGTCCCAAGGCAAGCTTCCACAAGAATCTTGACAGCGAACTAATCTCCTTAGCTCGGAGACAACTAACGACAGTAAACACAACCTGAACCCCACCAAAGAGACAGAGAAAACGTATTGAAAAGAAAGTCGAGCTAGTTGGAAGAGGGTCGTGCGCCCCAAAGAGTCCTCGACCTCTTTTCCAACCTTCGAGAGAGAGAAGGACTTCGAGCCGTCGAACCTGGTAAACTGCTCGAGACAGAGCTTACTGCAGCACGCGTCTGACATGATTCGATGAAGAACACGACTTTCAGCAAACTCTTCAAGACCCGCCTCGGGTATAAACGACCGACTGTCCAGATTGAGTTGAGTTGGAAACGTCAGCCGTCAATCCAATGGGGTTTTCGTGATGAAATTCACCAGAAGTCCACCCTCTCCATGAATTTTGAAAAGCTTCAAGTTCATAACAATACAAGACGGATGCAGACCCCACCTTCTGCATGAAGGCCACGAGGTCCTCGGCGGTCTTCTTCTTCTCGCCCGTGCTCGTGCTCTTCACCTCGCGCGCCATCTCGCCGACCGTCTCCTGCAGGAAGCGCGCGTACTGCAGCCGCGCCTGCAGCTTCTTCTTCATCAGCTCCTGCGGCACGCAGTCAGAAAAAACGCATCAGACTAGTTCAAAGATACTAGGAGTCAATGTAGTAACAGTGTTTTCAAAACGTGCTGCTCCTGCAGGATAGTGTATCTGCTTGGAAGCGGAACGCGCGCAGCTGCGGCTGTACCTATACTCACTCTTTGTCGTTTCTGCAGCGGCAAGAAGCAAGGGGATCCAAAGATCCAATCGCTTTGCACGAGTATGTTCTGTTATACCTGATGTCCTTGCACACAGTGCCACACTCGCAATCGCGTCTCCAGCTTCGGGTAGTGTATTTTCTTCGACGAGAAGCTAGATATTTTTTACAGTCCTGACATGAATGACAAGCGAACCGGTGGGAGAGGTGAGCTCCTTGCAATGTTTAGATCCGTCGAACGAGCAAACTCTGAGTCCAGACGCCAAATATCTTTAAGTATTAACTCAGACACGTACCTCGAAGGCCGCTTCAGCCGTCCCAAGAAAGAACGATGAACGGAAGCAGCAATAACAACATCCACCTTCAGATCCTGCTCCGAAATAGCTCTTCACTCAACCGCCTCAAGATCGTGGATCCTTAGGAAACGAAGAACGGGAAACAGGGTCTCACCTCCTCCTTCATCTTGTCTTGGAACGTGGACGGCAGCATGTTGGGGAAGAAGCGCAGGAAGACGGGCAGCAGGAACTCCATGAACGGAACGATGACAAAGATCGCAAACGGAACCAGCCGGAACACGTCGGCGACCGTCCGCGTCAGTTGCTTGCGCTCGCGCCGCGTGAGGCTCTTCCCGTTGGCCACTTTGAGGAGCAGGCGCGACGCAACCCGGACATCGGCCCATAGGAGCTTGGTGCCGACCTGCGGGGGGCGAAGGGGATACGCGACTGTAGTATCAATAGGCTATCCGGTGGATGCAATGAGAATAATCGGAGTACTGAGCTGCTATGAAGCGTGCCAAAAGTGCACGTCCAAAAAAAACTTTCATTGTTTGCACATTCTTGAACAATTCTCAACAATCATACTTGAGCTTCTGGTGCAGCTCCTCCTTGAGAGAGATGCATTGGCTATGGCGGGACAGCCTCCGTCAACGATAGCAACGACCTCAGCCATCTAAGACCCCTGAAAGTTGACCGTTGCAATTCTGAAACACCTTCGTTCCTGGAAGCAGCTCAGCATTTTAAATCACTCAGAACTTGAGGCTGACATAGCACCGCTGAAAAGCGCAACCTGCGCCATGGCATCAACCAGCCACTCAAGCAGGGCCCGAGAGTTGAAGGTTATGAAAGCTCATACCCAACTTCTCAGCTATATAGATCACAAATGACAGGCTTCTCTGTCACCATGTACTGTCCGGCCCTACGGTCAACACGACACCCTCAATAAGATGGTACTACAAGTCACTGACCCAATAATGCTGCGCCGTCTCTTTAATGGCTGTACCCCAGCCCTTGAAGGTTCTGACCCAATCTGCCCCGCTCATGGAAAATACGGCACGCAGAGCTGCTGGAATGCCAACAATTGTGGCAATCGCCTGCTGCAGTATAGTCTTGTCCCTGCAAAGAAGTGCAGGACACGGTTTTGAAACCGAGCGAGAAGTAACGAGAAGTGAGTGCAAGAGGGAAAAGTCTGTACAATAAAAACAAAGGTAGCCTGTCGAACAAACTTGCTCATATTTGTAGCACGGTGGAGTTGTTGAGAGTGTAAGGTACTGACGATGCAGGTTGTAAGGGCATGATGGGTGTTCTGAGCATCAACAGCAGTAGCCTTCCACGCTACTCTTCAAGGTGTATGAACATCTGGAAGTAGCCCCCAACTTAATACTGGGGGCTCAAAGATGACGTTGGGGGGAAGTCTGCTGCCTGCAAGCTTGACAATACAAGGCAATACCCTCATCTTTACTGACCCAGCGAGTGAGTTCACTAGCTCGTGCTGAAAGACATCTTGATCCTCAAACTTTCCTTTTAAGCAGTAACAAGTTGGATCAATTGACAGATACAAGATAAATCAAAGTGACAAACACTTCACATTTGACGTACTGACGGACTTTTCACACAAAAGGGTCAGCATCTGTGTGTAAGTTCTGTCAGACAAACTTCTCTTACTTCCATCTTTGAAGTAAGAGAAACAAACAAGCCTGATCTTAATATGCTAAAAGAAAATTCCAACGATGAACCCTGATCTATACAGGAGTGACCCAAAGCAAACAGAGGGAAGAATAATAGTCAAACCCAAAATCTTCAAGCTGCCGAAATTCTATCAGAGGCATGAGACATTGGGTCGAACCAGCCAAAGTTTTCCAGCTTGCTTTTCTATGCAAAGATTGACTGAGAATGGGAGCCTTATCATGCTACCAGTATTGGGGCCCAGGATATCAGCCAAGAAGCTCGTTGAAGGAAAGGCGCCTCGCCATCAACGCTCAATTCTATGCTGGGGCCCAGTTCTGACGAGGAACGTCGCTGAACTTCTACACAAGGTCCTTATGATTCTTTTAAAGCGCCAGCATTTTTCAAAACCACCGAGACAGTCTGCAGCTCGACAAAACCGAACCAGCGCATCCGCTCACTTCTTGGCGGCCTCCTTCTGCTTTGCTTTCTTCTGCGCCTCGCTCAGACTGTTCACCGCGTCATCGCACGCTGCCGCCTCGCTGGCGCTCGTTTCTTTCTGGAGCCGCTCCCCGTGCTCTGATTTGAGCACCTCCGCCACGGCGCCCTGAAATTCTGCCCCCAGAGCTGCCGCATCACTGCCTGGTTTTGAGGAGAACCACCGGACAGACAATTCCGGCGTTGAAGGCGACCATCGGACGGTATATGGTAGATTCAGTGAAGATGCGCTGTGATGTGGATGCAACCGAAACGGTGCTGCTCTGAGCCAGGCGGGATCAACCGTCAGTGCCGGCCGCGTGTTCCTCTCCTCAGACTCTGAATCTTCTGAAGAGTTGGACGACAGGAATGCGCAAGGAGACTCTTGCAAAAAGTCGTGATTGGCGGAGTGATGCTTTCCCCTCCATCGGACGGCCGCAAATGGCAATTGGGAGTCCAGCGATGACTCGAGAAGGCCAGTGGCCCTGCGACCCCGCTGGCAAAGAAGGCGGGCAAGGCCCACCCCCTGTCTAGTTGCCATCACAAAAAACTACTTCTCTATCGAGTAAAGGCAAAGATCCGTGTGCTGATCCATCAATTGCGCACCGAAATGCGCATATACACTGTGAAACTCAGCACGGCGGGGCAGAAACTTCTAGATCAGCGTCTTTTGCTTTATCAGCCTGCTCCAAAGAATTGTCAAGTGGACAACAGGCTTTCAGCAGAAGACTGGTCGCGCCACCCCAAAGCGTTTCACAAATTACATTCATTAGTGACGTCGGGTGGTGATCAGGAAGAGAAGGGAGTGAACTGGTAAGGGG